GGGGCAGCGTGTCTGGTGGGTGGGCAGGGAGCGCTGGGGAGGGGGATTTTCCAGCGGGGGCTTTGGGTTAGGAATCACCCGCCCAGGAATGTAAGGGGGTTTGGGTCTCCAAAAATAGTCTGTGTGTTTGTTTGTAGGTTGGTTTGTTGTTTTTTTTTCCCTGCCCTCTCCCCGCGGCTGGAGTTTTATTTCTGCAACCCCGAGGGGAAGAGTTGGGCTGTGGGGAAGCGAGGGAGGGGGAGAGGGGAGTGTCCTGATCTCCAGGTTTCATCTCTGCTCTGGAGCCAGGCTGGGAGAGTTGGGGTGTTCAGCCTGGAGAAGAGACCTTAGAGCACCTTCCAGTGCCTGGGAGGGCTTCAGGAAAGCTGGGGAGGGGCTTCATAGGAGCACAGGGAGGGATGGGATGAGGGGAAACAGTTTTGAGCTGAAAGAGGGGAGATTTCCATTAATTTAGAAACAAATTCTTCACTATGAGGTGGTGAGAGCCTGGCCCAGGTTGCCCAGAGAAGCTGTGGCTGCCCCATCCCTGGCAGTGTTGAAGGGCAGGTTGGATGGGGCTTGGAGCAGCCTGGGCTGGTGGGAGGTGTCCCTGCCCATGCAGGGGGGTTGGAACTGGATGGTCTTGAAGGTCCCTTCCAACCCAAACCAGTCTATGACTCAATGATTCTAACACTTTCATCCTCTGTAGTGATGGATAATTAATATTAGACATTTACTCCCACCACTGAATGACTGGGTGAAGTGAGACCCAAGATGACACAATTTACTACTTCCAGCAGGAGCTCTCACCTCGGGGACAGTGTCCCCATCTCCTCAGGTGCCCCCCCCCCACCCCCCCCCCAATCCCCCCCCTTGCATTTCAAGGGTTGCTTTGCAGACCCTGGGGTCGGGTTCTCTCTCCATTTACTAGGAAGGCACCGCAGTGCCCGTGTTCTCATCATGCCTGTGACATCCTGTTGTCCTTTCCCAAAGCCTCAGCCCTGAAAGTCGTTTCCCCACCATGTCAGCACCTCTCTGCTCCTGGGTGGGACCCCCTTTCTCCCAAAGCTGCCCTGGCCCAGCTGCAGTTTTTGCTCTCTCTGCCACTTTCCACTCGCAGAAGTGAAAGTGCTGGAGAGTTTCACAGCATCTGGTGCCTGAAAACTGTTCCTACTTGTAGGGCAAAAACTCCACGACAGGGAAAAAGGAAAATGTAGATGGTGCAGGTGGATGAGATGTGCTAATCACCTACCAGGCTCTCAGGATTTTTGCTCAGGGGCACTGCAGCTTTTTATAAGCAAAACGAGCAATTTGTTTTGATGAAGTGCCTCTCTCTGGAACATTTTTCTTGAGATTAAGTCTCTTTTTAGCAGTCAGAGTCTGATCTTGTCACTGCCCAGGCAAAGGCTGCAGCCAAGCATGTATTTAACCTGCATAAGGAGCTCTTGATTTGATCCTGATAGCTACAATACTCTGATACAAAAGGTATTTGCTACTCTTTTAACTTCTTGGTGTAATTCTTTAATCTATTATGTCTTTCACGAGACAGTACCTGAATAGTCATGTGCTAATCTATGTGTTATATCAAATACCCAGGTATGAAAATACAGTTAAATAATTTGCAAAGCCATTTCCACAAGGGTATTTAACGTTTTAAATCACACCTGCTATTATTTGAGTATGACAATAGAAAATCAAAAAGCGACGGGTGGAATTATTTTAATGATGAAAATAGTTTTAAGTGCAGTCAGGGCTGTTAAGCTGTCAGGTCTCCATCCCACAGATCTTTAAACGTGGGCAGAACTTGCACCCAATTCATGAAATAAAGTAGGTTGAGTTGCCCGTTTGTGCCTGGAGAATGTGGCAACATTGGGCATGAAAGGAGATGTGAGAAGTGGGTGTCACTCCGTGTCATTATGTACAGAATTTCCACTTACAGGAACTTGCCAGGATGTATCACAACAGCCTTTGGGCTGTGGCAGGGCAGGAGCTGTGATACCATCAGATAAAGGATCACAGATTAGTTTGGGTTGGAAGGGACCTTAAAGACCATCCAGTTCCAACCCCCTGGCCATGGGCAGGGACACCTCCCACCAGCCCAGGTTGCTCAACCAGGTTGTCAGTTCTGGCCTTACCTGGTGCCTAGTACCTTCACAACTGCACCTTGATACTTGGAGGTGCTCTCGTGGCACCCAGGTGTCCCTCCTGTGCAGGCAGGTCCCTCTGTCCTCTTTCTGGGGCAAAGAAGAGGAGCAGAGTCCCCAGTCCAGCAGTGTTTTGGCGCTGAGCAGGAGGGGCTCAATTGTCCCTCCAGCTCTTCACACTCAGATGTGCAAAGTCAACCCTAAGCTTCCTGTGCATGTTGTAACTCCAGAACCAGCATCTTGGGATGCAGAGGCTTTTTCCCTGGAGAGCTGCAGCCCCCTCTCTTCAGACCTTGACTGTGGTGTTTCCGTTGCCTCCTGGCAGGGAGATCTGGCCCATGTGAAGGTCCTTCAGGAAGACAGAACTGGCTGGGATGAGCCCTGTGGCTCCTGGGGGATGGTAGCAGAGACAGCACCAGCTCTCAGGCTGGTGCCAGCTAGTCCTGTGACAGTGCTGGTGTATTGTATGGTAATTAGGTAATTATGGTTATCACCAGGCCACAGCTAGATAGGAGGCTGAGACCTGATCCACTTGTTAGTCCTGCTGATCCCTCTGCACACCAGGAATGTTATGGATCAGTCAACCTTTACACCTGAGGGGCTTCTTGAGATGGAGATGGGGGATTTTGCATTTAGCAGCTCTTGGTGGACTTTCTTGCTGTGTTACAAAGATCCTGTAGAGATGAAGGTCAAACCCTGCTCACCTCACCAAGTGCTGGGTCCTTTGGGACCCTCCAAGGTTTGACCTGAGGGTAGAACTACAGGATAGGTTGGAAGAGACCACAAAAGACCATCTGGTCCAAACCTTCATGGGAAAGGGAGTCTATAGATGACATAATCTAGACAGGGTGGGGACACCCCTGCTTTTCTGGTTGGTGCTGCTTTCTCCCAAGCCCCTTCTAGTGCAGTGTCTTGTAGAGCAGCTGCATCTGGGTTTTGGCTGGAGCTGAAGCAGGATGGGCTTGGAGGAATGGCCTCCCTGGAATTGTTGCTTCTCTCTTGCAGGTCTGGAGTTGTCTCACTATGTAGGGGCCAACTCGTTGGGCCCTGCTGGGCCTTGGAGGTCTGGAGGGCCCTGCAAGATGAAGAGGGTCCGCACGGTCTTCAAACCCGAGCAGCTGGAGCGGCTGGAGAAAGAGTTCCTCAAGCAGCAGTACATGGTGGGCACGGAGAGGGTCGACTTGGCAGCAACCCTGCATCTCACTGAGACTCAGGTAGGATGGGAGCTGGGGAAGGGGATCCCAACCTAGATCTGGGTTTGGTCTGTGGTGGTTTCCCTGCTGCGCGGGGGAGCGGGAGGACGGGACCCATGGGTCTCCCTGCTCCCACCTGCCTGGAGGGGTGTGAGATGAGTTTAGATGGTTGGTGGAGAAGACCATCCTCTTCCTCATCCATGGAGTGGAACAAAAAAAGCATGTAGGGACACAATACCTGTCTGCTTTGGAGTTCAAGCTGAGCTGAACAAATGTATCCATGCTGTTAATGATCCTCTGGAGACGGTTCATGCTTTAAGTGCCCTTTTATGACAATGAATCTGATTTTTTTTCTGCTCTTCCACGTAAGTTTCTGCCCCTTTCTGCACCCTGCTGGTTTGCTGGGGAGGGGGGGAGCCATGTGATCATCTGTGGTGGGATCCAAATTCAGCTGGAGAAAAGGGAGAGAAAAGCAAGGGTGGTTCTAGGTGGTGAGGGAGGGTGTGAAGAGCAGAGGGAGCAGGGACAGGGGTAGGTGGGTGTTTCATCGTGCTCCCTGGAAGCTGTGGCCCCAGGGGCAGGCTCAGTGGTTTGGGGGAGCTGGTGGGGGCACCTCCTTCACTCCCCCGGCCAGAAGCTCCTCTGTGCAGCTGTGTCCCCCTTTTCCCCATGTCCTTCCTGCCAGCACCACTCTGCCCTCCAGAGTGTCACCTCCTCCATGCCCCAGGCAGGGAAAGGAGCATGTCCCCCTCTGTAAGGAACCCTGCTCTTTGGGGACAGCTGCTTCAGCAGCACATAGCAACGATCCCCTTTGGAAAGGGGCTCCTGGAGATGGGATTAACATCTGGTGCCATCTCCCTGCTAGGTGAAGGTCTGGTTCCAGAACCGGAGGATCAAATGGAGGAAGCAGAGCATGGAGCAGAAGGCAGCAAAGCTGTCCCAGTTTGGGGTGATCCAACCTGCCAGCGCCGACTCGACGGACATCAAGGACCACGAGGAGGACCCTGTGGACGTTGAGCTTTGAGCAGCTGATAAGACTGAGCTGCCACTGTTGTGTTCTCCAGCCATGCCTGCTTGCTGGAGCTCCTGGGGATGCAGGAACATCTGTGGTCCAAGTGAGACATGACACTCTCCATCTGAGAGCTGGAGCTGAAGGACAGAACTGCAGCTGCCTGGGAGAAGCCTCCCAGATCTTGTTTGGTAGCCTTGTGCCATTAATTCCTGGGGCTTCATCACCAGGCTGGTTGTCCTTGGTGGTTCCATAGCAAGGCATGTGACCTCCTGTTTGCTCTTGAAGCACCAGGACACACAGTTTCCAGCTGAGAGCCTGAGGTGACAACCGGTGTCTCTTGATGGCTGGGGACACAGGGTCACTTGTGTTGTGTGTGGCTGTGTGCTCCTAGGAGGGACACCCCGTGCTGGGAGGAGAATCAACCCTGATTGTTCCTCCTGGTCAGCTTGCTTAGATCACAACAAACAAACAAATCAAAAAAGGTGAAAATTGGAAAGCCCTTTGCTCCCACCATGCAGACCATTACTGCACCTGCAAAGAGATGAGCAGGGTCTGCTCCTGCCCCTGGACCACAAGTGCCTCCTTTGGGTCCTGTGCCTTGGTGTATCTGTGCCTTCCTTTTGACTTCCCAAACCCAGAGGGCAGAACCTGGTGGGTCTCTCTGCTGTGTCCTCACCTGCCAAGGAGCGTGTGTGCAGCAGGGAACGAGGCGCCGGGGCCAGACCAGGGGCAGGGATGGGGGCTGTTGGAAAAAAAAAAGAAGCAAAAAAGCAGCTTTCCAACACCTCTGGTGCCTCAGTCGACCCCCCTGCCCCTCTCCCAGATGTGCAAATCCTGGCCCAGGCAGCAGTTGCTCCGTTCTCTCCTCATTACACACCCAGCTTCCCATGGGAAGCGGCGCCTGGCGAGCACATCTGCAGCCCCCGGTGCAGTCAGCAGCTGCATTTCTGGGGTATTCCTGGTGGGTGGGAGGGCTCCCAGGGGTCAGGACCAACCTCTCCACCCCCCTCAGGCCAGGCTCCCCCACTTCGGGCTGCCCAGGGAACCAGGAACCACGTCCCAACAGCTCAGGATAACTTATTGCCTCTCTTTCTGACCCAGAACACTGTGCATCACTTTACTCTTCCATTGTTATTTATGTAAAACCCCCTTTTTTTATTTCTTATTACCCCCCTTCCCCTTAATAACTGTCGCTTATTTATTTGCTTTGCTTAATAAAAATCTAGTGTGTTTTAAAAAAGAGAGGTGGGACTGGCTGTGGGGGGGAGGCAGGTTGGGCAGCTCCTTGGATTCTGAGCCAGTGGAGATTCCTCTGTGGCTTCTTGCCCCACAGATCCCAGGGATGAGTTACTGGTCATTTTTCCTGGGTTTCTGAGGAAATGGAGGGGGAAAAAAAAAAGGCAAAAGAAAAGCATCTTTTCCTCCTCTTCATAAGACTCCTGTTGTCAAAAAGAAATAGCTGGTTTCCAGCACCAAGTCAAGAAAAGGTGATTTATTCTCAAGAAAGGGTGATTTCTTCTCAAAAGTGTGATTTCTTCTCAAAAAAAGGGGGATTTCTTGCACATTATTACTCCTGACACATCAATGCAAATTTGAAAACATTTCCCCCCATGCTTGTGTGGTTTTTGGTAAACCTGTGCACTTGTCTCAAGCTTGAATGTTTTGAATTGGAGCAAGAGCAGGTTTGAAAAAGATCAGCTGAAAACACCTTTAAGTGTTAACACACACACACACACACACACAAAAAAAAACAACCAGAAGGAGAATTCATTTCCAACTACTCTCTTTACTTTTCAATTGCAATTGTTAACAGAAAGGAAAAAACTGGTATATTTTAATCCTTTCAAAAAGTTTGAGGTTTCTTTTTTCCTTAATAAGATGTTTTTGGCAAAATAAATGCTTAAAAAAATGAGAATCATATAATAGAATCACAGACTGGTTTGAGTTGCAAGGGACCTTAAAGATCATCCAGTTCCAACCCCCTGCATGGGCAGGGACACCTCCCACCAGCCCAGGCTGCTCCAAGCCCCATCCAACCTGCCCTTCAACACTGCCAGGGATGGGGCAGCCACAGCTTCCCTGGGCAACCTGGGCCAGGCTCTCACCACCCTCACACCAAAGAATTTCCTCCTCATGTCATGTCCAACCTAAATCTCCCCTCCTCCAGTTTTAATCCATTCCCCCTCATCCCACCCCTCCCTGTCCTTGTCCCAAGCCCCTCCCCAGCTTTCCTGGAGCCCCTTCAGGCACTGGAAGGTGCTCTATGGTCTCCCTGGAGCCTTCTCTTCTCCAGGCTGAACACCCCAACTCTCCCAGCCTGGCTCCAGAGCAGAGCTGCTCCAGCCCCTGGATCACCTCTGTGGCCTCCCCTGGAGCTCCATGTCCTTCTCACATTAGGGGCTCCAGAACTGGACACAGTGCCCCAGGTGGGATCTCACGGCAGCAAAACAGAGGGGGAGAATTTTATTTTAGTTTTAATTGGAGACTCGATTCCATGCGGGAACGTTGATAACACGAGTTACTATCTCTAGGCCAGCACCTCCAGAGACAGAACTACATTTATAGTAAGGAACGTGTCCGGTTAGCATGGGCTGCTCAGCAAGAAGATGTCACTGAAATACGTGCCACAAAGCAGCATCGCTCCACCTGCTTCCAGGTCCTTGCGGGTCCCCCCGGAGTGGGCGTTGGTGGCTGGAGGTGGCCAAAGAGGTGTCTCTGGTGGCCCTGCTGGTGGGTTTCACCCCAAAATCCAGGTGGGGAAGGTGTCCTGCGCAGTTGGGCTGTCCCTTGTCGCCAGCCTGGTGGCCAAGGAGGTGTCCCCGTGGCCAAGGAGGTGTCCCTGGTGGCCAAGGAGGTGTCCCTGTGGCCAAGGAGGTGTCTCTGGTGGCCGAAGAGGGGTCCCTGGTGGCCAAGGAGGTGTCTCTAGTGGCCAAGGAGGTGTCCCTGTGGCCAAGGAGGTGTCTCTGGTGGCCGAAGAGGGGTCCCTGGTGGCCAAGGAGGTGTCTCTAGTGGCCAAGGAGGTGTCCCTGTGGCCAAGGAGGTGTCTCTGGTGGCCGAAGAGGGGTCCCTGGTGGCCAAGGAGGTGTCTCTAGTGGCCAAGGAGGTGTCCCTGTGGCCAAGGAGGTGTCTCTGGTGGCCGAAGAGGGGTCCCTGGTGGCCAAGGAGGTGTCTCTAGTGGCCAAGGAGGTGTCCCTGTGGCCAAGGAGGTGTCTCTGGTGGCCGAAGAGGGGTCCCTGGTGGCCAAGGAGGTGTCTCTAGTGGCCAAGGAGGTGTCCCTGTGGCCAAGGAGGTGTCTCTGGTGGCCGAAGAGGGGTCCCTGGTGGCCAAGGAGGTGTCTCTAGTGGCCAAGGAGGTGTCCCTGTGGCCAAGGAGGTGTCTCTGGTGGCCGAAGAGGGGTCCCTGGTGGCCAAGGAGGTGTCTCTAGTGGCCAAGGAGGTGTCCCTGTGGCCAAGGAGGTGTCTCTGGTGGCCGAAGAGGGGTCCCTGGTGGCCAAGGAGGTGTCTCTAGTGGCCAAGGAGGTGTCCCTGTGGCCAAGGAGGTGTCTCTGGTGGCCGAAGAGGGGTCCCTGGTGGCCAAGGAGGTGTCTCTAGTGGCCAAGGAGGTGTCCCTGTGGCCAAGGAGGTGTCTCTGGTGGCCGAAGAGGGGTCCCTGGTGGCCAAGGAGGTGTCTCTAGTGGCCAAGGAGGTGTCCCTGTGGCCAAGGAGGTGTCTCTGGTGGCCGAAGAGGGGTCCCTGGTGGCCAAGGAGGTGTCTCTAGTGGCCAAGGAGGTGTCCCTGTGGCCAAGGAGGTGTCTCTGGTGGCCGAAGAGGGGTCCCTGGTGGCCAAGGAGGTGTCTCTAGTGGCCAAGGAGGTGTCCCTGTGGCCAAGGAGGTGTCTCTGGTGGCCGAAGAGGGGTCCCTGGTGGCCAAGGAGGTGTCTCTAGTGGCCAAGGAGGTGTCCCTGTGGCCAAGGAGGTGTCTCTGGTGGCCGAAGAGGGGTCCCTGGTGGCCAAGGAGGTGTCTCTAGTGGCCAAGGAGGTGTCCCTGTGGCCAAGGAGGTGTCTCTGGTGGCCGAAGAGGGGTCCCTGGTGGCCAAGGAGGTGTCTCTAGTGGCCAAGGAGGTGTCCCTGTGGCCAAGGAGGTGTCTCTGGTGGCCGAAGAGGGGTCCCTGGTGGCCAAGGAGGTGTCTCTAGTGGCCAAGGAGGTGTCCCTGTGGCCAAGGAGGTGTCTCTGGTGGCCGAAGAGGGGTCCCCGGTGGCCAAGGAGGTGTCTCTGGTGGGTTTCAGCCCCACGGGTGGGTTTCTGCTTCGTCCCCCCGACCCTGTGCCTTTCTCCCACGGCAGGGAAAAGGTTTGTTCGCCACCAGGAAGATCCGCAGAGGGGAGACAGTCTTCGTGGAGCGGCCGGTGGTGTCGTCCCAGTTCCTCTGGAACGCCCTGTACCACTACCGAGGTGAGCTGGGGCCGGCGCTGGTGGCCACGGCCTTGTTGTCCCCTGCCCCGGCCAGGGGCACCACGGGGCTCTCTGGGTTTTGCAAGGAAAAGAGTTTGGGTTCGGGGCTGTTTGTTCTTTCTGTCGCCGCAGTTGAAAACTCTTGAGGGTCGTTTGAGGGATGGGGACTTTGATCTCCCCTAGGGAGAAGCACCGTCAGGCACCATCACTGGTGGGAGCACCCGAGGTTTTTGAGTGGTTCTGGTGGGGATCCCAGTCACACCCTGGCAGAAAACAGCCCACAGAGGTGCCAGCTTTCTCCTGAGGGGCTAGGAGGAAAAACGAGGGTTGTAAGAGTGGGATTTGGAACTTTTTTTTCCCTGCCTAGACCCTGCTGAGCTCTGTTGTGGGTCAGCAACGTGGGGAGGCTTCCCAGCATCGCCCCTTTTCATAAGGGCATGTGGGGGTAGGAGAAGGGGTGACGGTTGGACTTGATGATCTCAAAGGTCTTTTCCAACCTAAGTGATTCTGTAATGGCTCTGGAGTGGAAAAGAGGAGATTCAGGTGAGACATGAGGAGAAAATTCCTTGCTGTGAGGGTGGTGAGACCCTGGCCCAGGTTGCCCAGGGAAGCTGTGGCTGCCCCATCCCTGGCAGTGTTGAAGGGCAGCCTGGGCTGGTGGGAGGTGTCCCTGCCCATGCAGAGGGGTTGGAACTGGATGATCTTTAAGGTCCCTTCCAACTCAATCCAGTCTGGGATTCAATGATTCTGTGATTACAGGGCAGTAGGTGAGGGCTGAGGGTGGGTTAAATTGCAGCAGAAATGCTCTTTGCTGGAAGAGCCTGGTGCCTCCAGCTTGGAGATGGTGCTGGTACCAGTCATGCCACCTTGCCCTGGCCTCTTCTGTTCCCTCACTATGGGGTGTGTGTGTCCCTCCTGTCTCCTGGCAGCCTGTGATCACTGCCTGAGGGCCCTGGAGACGGCGGAGGAGAACGCCCAGCGGCTGCTGGGGAAGAGCTCCCTGGTGCTGCCTCACCCTGAGCAGTGCAGCATCCGGAAAGACCTGCACCAGCAGTGTCCCCGCTGCCAGGTATGGGGCTTGGTGGGGTCACCAACTCCTTCACAGCATCTCATGCTGCCCCAAGATGGGTGTGTCTGCCTTTTTCCCTTCTGCATCGTGATGGTTAAAGAGCTGGGGCTCAGAGGGCCAGGGAGGGGGCACAGCTGCTTCTGGGACCTCTTTTTCCTGCTGCCACAGCCAACGCCAGGTGCTGTGCCCCTCGCTCTAGGTGACCTACTGCAGTGCTGAATGCAGGCAGGCTGCTTTGGAGCAGTACCACCAGGTCCTCTGCCTTGGCCCCTCGCGTGATGACCCCACACACCCCCTCAACAAGCTGCAGGAGGCATGGAGGTAGGGGACCGACCTGCCTGCTTGATCCACGGGTGGAAGAGGTGGCTTTCCTGGGCTGGGTGATGCTGCCTGGGACCAGAGCTGAGGGTTGTCTATGCTTTGCATCCCCTGCATGGGGTGGCTGGAGGGTGGTGTTGGCCAAGGACACTGCCCAGCTCTAGCTGCTGGTTGGGCAGCAGGTGGATTTGTGTTGGCAGTGCAAGGGATTGGACACACAGCTGAGCAGTAGTTCTTTTTCTCCCAGTAAAAAGCTACAAAGCTCTGAGCTGTGTGTGGGTAGTGCTCCTGGAGAGCTCCAGCCTCTGGGACATCTTCCTGTGAGTACACAAACTGCTGTCACTGCTGGCAGATGACAAAACTGGCACAGAGGGGAGAAGCAACATTCCTGACCCAAAGCTTGTCACAAACCTCAGCTCTTATTGCAGGCCTGGGCTTTGTATGGGACCCAGGCTCTAGTTTAGCAGGATGGTGGGGGATCATTTGCATGCCAGAGCAGGCAGGTGGGTGCAGGCTTCTCCTCCCCCCAAACAGCTGGATCCACACACTGCAATGCTGCATTGGCCATTCTGGTGAAGGCCTGGCCAAATGGATGGCAGCTGCCTCTGCCTCCCTCCAGCTTTTGATTTCCATACCAGCACTGATCTGCTCATCTTTTTCTCTTCATTGTTATCCCCCCCAGAAACATGCATTATCCACCAGAGACTTCCAGTGTCATGTTGATGGCCCGGATGGTTGCCACTGTGAAACAGGTGGGTCTGCAGTTTGGAGCCACAGCTGCCATGTGTGGTTTCCTCATCCCGTTGTGAATGTTATTCCCAAGGACTGATCTCTTCTCCAGCAATTGTCGGGGTCTTTGCTTGAATAGTTCTCAACATCTAGTGGTCCCTGGTCATGGAGACAGCAGGGAGCAAAGGATGTTGCTGTGTTCTGAGCCAAGCAGGTCTTTTTTTTTAGGTACCAAAATAGTCACAACCTTTCCTTTGGCTCTGCTTCTTTGGCCTGGCCTTCTCAGTGTTTATTCTGACAACAAACTGCCACTGTGCAACTGCTTCTTCTGGCTCTTACTAGCAGGCTGGACACCTCTGAGCTCAGCAGGACTTGTCCTCTCTCCTTCTGTCCTGGCTGAGGAGGAAAGTGGTGTTGCTGCAATGGCTTTGCTTGATTCCTCTTCCAGGCTAAGGACAAGGAGTGGTGGATCAAGGCCTTCTCCCAGTTCTGCAGTAAGACAGCAAATGAAGAAGAGGAGATCGTGCACAAGCTTCTGGGGGACAAATTCAAGGTAAGAGCTTGGCAGTGGTTGGATGTCTTGAATCCCTGAGCCCACCCTCTCCCTGCCTGTGTCTGTGAGCCCATGAGGTGCACAGGCCCTGTGGCAGCTGGGATGGGGGACACTGGAAATGCCAGGCTCGAAGTGGGGACACAAAGCCCCCCCTGTTAGGGGCTGGCTGACCTGACAGAGTTGTTTGGATGGCTTTGGGCTTGTGGTGCTTCAGTGGGACATGCTGCTTCTTCCTGTGGTGGAGATGCTTCTGCTGTGGGCTGGGACAGGGTGACCAGGAGGAGGACCCTGACTCCTGAGCCTTCCAGCCTGTTCTGGCCTTGGCTGTCAGCCTGGGTCTGACTCCCAGTGGAGTTTCCCCACCCTGACACTGTTACCATCTCCTGCCAGGGCCAGCTGGAGCTGCTGCGCTTGCTCTTCACCGAAGCCCTTTATGATGAATATCTCAGCAGGGTGAGTTGAGTTACCTCCCCACTAGCCCAGAATTGTGGTGAGACCCCTCCGCTTGGCACCAGCCCCCAGGAGTTATGTCTTCCCTAAAGACCAGAGCTTCCCCTGTGCCTCTGCCCATTCCTTGCTTTCTCCAAAGCTCCCCATGGGATTTGAGATGCTTGAAGAGTGGGGTTGCTGGCCTGGGCTCAGCTGCTTTCTCATGTCCCTTCTGCAGTGGTTCACTCCAGAAGGCTTTCGATCCCTCTTTGCCCTCGTTGGGACCAATGGCCAAGGCATAGGAACAAGGTAACATGGCTTTCTGGGTGCTCCTTGCAGGGCAGCAGGGCTGTGGGGTGGAGAGGATGTGCATCTATAAACCCACAGTGACCTACCTGGGGTAGGGGCTGGGTTCAGACCTCACAGAGGGGACGGCCAGGCAACCTGAAGAGCAATCCTTCACCTTGGCTGTGTCCAACCCTTCCACATCCCTCTGCCAGACCTGGGCCAGTCAGAGCCACTGAGTTTGACTTTTAGACACCCCCTCACCACCTTCTTGAGGTCCCCCCATGTGCTGAGAACCCTGGGGGGCTGTCACGGGGTCCCTCTGGTTCCCCACAGCTCGCTCAGCCAGTGGGTTCACGCCTGCGACGCGCTGGATCTGCCGCTGCTGCAGCGGGAGGAGCTGGACGCCTTCATCGACCAGCTCTACAAGGACATCGAGAAGGGTGAGCCTCTCACCTGCCCCTGGGCAGCATCAGGCAGTGCTCTTTTCAGGAGACTGACTGCTGGAGATTCAGGGAATAGGAGAGGTTCCCAGTAAGGACTGGGAGATCCCAGTTGCTCTGGTCTGGGTGAGCTGTGCCTGCTGCCTTTGGCTTGCTACATGGATAGGGCAAGTCCCAAGCTTTTTGGGCAGTGTGGCCCAGGTGAACTGTGGCAGGTCAGGGGGACTGGAGGTGATCTGGAGTGAACCTGTGCAGGGAAGTCCCATCTACACTGAACCTTCAAAGACCTGGTTATCACTTATTGACTGATGCAGTTGTGTGAGTACAGGGGTAGGATTAGAGCACACACCTGAACTGGGGGTGCAAATCATCCTCCATCCCCTCCCAGTGGGAAGGGAAAGGTGTTTTGGAAGCCACCCTCCCAACACCTGGCCTCCACAGCAGCTTTGGCTGGGTGTGTTCAGCCTTGTTGGAGCTTCCTTCATGCTCATGTTGAGCTGCACATAGGGAGGAGCCTGGAGTGCCATGCAAAGCTTTAACCCCCCTCTCTGTGCTGCAGAGTCAGGAGAGTTCCTCAACTGCGAGGGATCAGGTCTCTACGTGCTCCAGAGCTGCTGTAAGTATCACAGGAACTGGGAGGAAAACTAGTGAGGAGAGGGATGTCCTGGGCTGGTCAGGCTCACCTCTCCTAAAAACTTCTGGAGAAAGGGGTTTATGCTTCACATCCGTGGCATTGGGTGAGTTTGAATGGGGCCTGGCTGCTCTTTTGTGGTCTCCTGGTATCTCACCTAGCTCTGAAGTGGTCAGTCCTGGCTTGAATGGACTTGGATGTGATAGGGGCTCTGGGAGCCATGTGTGCAGTTAGCAAGGAGACCATCTCCGCCCTTGTCTGAGCAAAACAGAACTGAACAAACCATGAAGGGAGGGAGCCTTTCTTGTCCAGGCTATGAGGATGTAAAAGAGGATGTCCCAGAGCTGTCTTCTTTTCCTCAGAAGCATTGACAGCAGAGCAGGACCTGGGGACTGGCTGCTAGGAGAGCTGGGAAGTGATGCAGAAGTACAGCCCTGTGCTTCCTTCAGCACCTGGAGTCGGGGAATGGTGCTGTGTATCCCTGGGGATGATCCAGGCCAGCTTTCTCTGTCTGAGGGTTTTTTTGTGGGTCTGAGGGAGAGCCCTGGCCCTGCACCCTGCTCTGCTGGACACCCCCTTGTTCCCAGTGTGAGTGCAGAGTGTTCTGCTGGTGTTCCCAAGGTAGATGGGGTGACAGCAGCAATGTGGCCCTCCCAGTTGGAAGTGCTGGCTCCCATGTGCCTGGGCCACACAGAAGAGCAGGCAGCAGCCCCAGGAGAGCTGTGGGGGGGCCTTCCCATTCCTCTGGAGATGCCTTCTCAGGTGTGTCCCATCTTCCCCCCCAGGTAACCACAGCTGCATCCCCAATGCTGAGACATCTTTCCCAGAAAACAACTTTCTTCTGCATCTAACGGCTCTGGAGGACATCGAAGCAGGAGAGGTGGGACAGCAGGGCTCAGATCAACCTGGGGTGACATTGCACCTTGGCAGGAGGGGTTTATTTCCTGCCAGGGAGCAGACCCCAGCACCATACCTCCTGTGTTGCCCTGGCAGAGGAATTCACACCTCATCCCATGTTGGGGCTGCCAGACCCTGCATTTCTGCCGGTCCCTCCGAGAGGGACTGGTACAAATGGAGCTGCTCTGGGTTGGTGGGGATTGAGTCTGGTTTCTCTTGGCTCACAGGAAATCTGCATCAGCTACTTGGACTGCTGTCAGAGGGAGCGGAGCAGACACAGCCGCAATAAGATACTCAGGTAGGAAGAACCTGGGGGGACGTGGCAGCCCTTGGCACCCCCAGCCAGCCCCACAGACCAAGGATTTGGTCCCTTCTCTCTTGCTCTGTTCTGCTGTTGCCTCTTGAAAAGCTGTGCTGTCCACGCTCACCTTCCTTTTCTTTGTTGAGACCCTGGCCCAGGTTGTCCAGGGAAGCTGTGGCTGCCCCATCCCTGGAAGTGTTGAAGGGCAGGTTGGATGGGGCTTGGAGCAGCCTGGTCTGGTGGAAGGTGTCCCTGCCCATGCAGGAGGGTTGGAACTAGGTGATCTTGAAAGCCCCTTCCAACACAAACCATTCATAGAGTCATGGAATCATAGAACTGTTCAGGCTGGAAAAGACCTGTGGGATCACCCAGTCCAACCATCATCCCTACTCTACAAAGTTCTCCCCTAAACCAAATCCACCAACACCACATCCAAACCACCCTTCAACACACCCAGGGATGGTGACTCCACCACCTCCCTGGGCAGCCTGTTCCAGTCTCTG